AGAAAAACAATCCCGAACGGAAGGGGCCACAACAAACCGAGGAGAAGAGAGAAACGGACAGATGCAGCACACTAGGCTATGTAATCTACTGATGGTCCTAACCACTGGGAAGGCATCTTGGGGGAGGAGGGGGGGCAAGAGGTAATCAGGGTCATCAGAGGGAGAGGAACCTCTCAATCGACGGGAGTATCAACGGTAGCGGTGGCTCCTCTGAGGAGAGGCAGGAAGATGACTTGCACCAGGTTCCCGCCTGGGCTAGGTGTCAGTGTTGGTATCTAAGGCAGAATTCCCATTGACGTCAAGACGAACCAGAGGGGGAAAAATGATTGGTCGCCTGGGCATACAAGGTAAGTGGATGGAACAGGAGAACATCTGCTGGACCATACCTGTGGATAGATGAAAAATGGATGATGGATGAAAAATTTCCTAACTGATAGAAAAATGAGAGTCCTAATCAGAGGCAGTGTATCGAATTGGAGTGGAGTACTCACAAGTGGAGTACCGCAGGGTTCAGTTCTTTCACCAGTGATGTTCATTGTCTACATAAACGATTTACCAGATGGAATACAGAAATATATGAACATGTTTGCTGATGATGCCAAGATACTAAAGAAGATAACAAACCTAGATGATTGTCATATCCTTCAAGAAGACCTGGACAAAATAAGTATATGAAGCAACACTTGGCAAATGGAATTTAATGTGAATAAATGTCATGTTATGGAATGTGGAATTGGAGAACATAGACCCCACACAACCTATAAATTATGTGAGAAATCTTTAAAGAATTTTGACAAAGAAAGGGATCTAGGGGTAGTTCTAGATAGAAAACTGTCACCGAGAACCACATTAAGAACATTGTGCGAGGAGCCTATGCCACGCTTTCTAACTTCAGAATTGCTTTTAAATACATGGATGGAGAAATACTAAAGAAATTGTTCACGACTTTTGTTAGACCAAAGCTGGAATATGCAGCGGTTGTATGGTGCCCATATCTTAAAAAGCACATGAACAAACTGGAAAAGGTGCAAAGACATACCACTAAGTGGCTCCCAGAACTGAAAGACAAGAGCTACGAGGAGAGGTTAGAGGCATTAAATATGCAAAAACTAGAAGATAGAAGAAAAAGAGGCAATAAGATCACTACTTACAAAATAGTAACAGGAAACGATAAAATTGATAGGGAAGAATTACCGAGACCCAGAACTTCAAGTACAAGATGTTACAGATTTAAACTAACGAAACAAAGCTGCCGGAGAAATATAAGAAAATTCACTTTTGTAAACAGAGTGGTAGATGGTTGGAACAAGTTAGGTGAGAAGGTGATGGAGGTCAAAACCGTCAGTAATTTCAAAGCGTTATATGACAAAGAGTGCTGGGTAGATGGGACACCACGAGCATAGCTCTCATCCTGTAAATACACTTAGGTAATTACCTGTGAAGGGACCCAACTGGAGGGAGCCAGGAGTCAAAGAGAAATGGCAGGCTGGTTAAGGGCACCTAATTTCAGTAACAGCTCCTGTCAAGGGGTCCCTGCTACTTTATGTTCGATGTCCAACAGGAGAGCCTCAAGGTATTCCGGGCAATTCTTGAACGTGATCTTGTGAGGGCCATGACATAACAGGCAACAAGGAACACCTGAGCACCCACTAGTATCTCGATTCTTATGACTTATGATACTGCAGTTTGCACAGCAAGCTGCATTACAGCACATGAGGCAACTATTATCAAATAGATGGCAAGCATAGCAAAAGAACACCAGAAAATTACAGGGCATTTCCCGAAACAAGATCCTGTATAGTGCCATCCAGTTGGGGAGGGGTCTGTCAAACTTTACATGTACCATGGATGTAGGTCCCCCATCTTGAATCCTAGTGGCTTCCCAGGGACCCACCAATGCACCCCCTAACAACTGCAGAGTGACATGAATGTCTTCCACAGCAACACCCGAGTCAATTGGCCCAATCATCCGATAACGGGCTCAAGACTCCTCCTGAGACAACACCTGTCGACATCTGACAGGCCAGTCCCCCAGTGAGATTATGTCTGATAGCCGGATGTGCAATAAAGCACATTGCGCTGATATGTAGCTTAAGAGTCGCACCCCTACCCAAAGTATTGATGGTCTCAGGCAGGCAATATGACTATAAATCCGAAGCCTCGAGTGCAGCATTTGAGGATTCATAGAAAGGCACTGACCTGTTGTTAACTGGATAAGGACCACCACATACACAGAAGAAGATAACGATGGAAAAATAACTGCTGTAGGTGAGGACATTCTCTTAGCGTCCCATTCTCGGGCAGCTTCTACCGGCTCATTTTCTACCATCTGGTAGAAAATGACCATGATGGCCTGTCGGGAACTAGCCATCAACTTCTATATCGCCCCCACCCTGGAAAACACCCAGAATGGAGACCCCTTGGTTGACTATTATTGGTGAGAAACCCTTGCTAGGCTCTCATTGGTGAGAAACCCCCTTGCTTGGCTCTCATTGGTGAGAAACCCTTGCTAGGCTCTCATTGGTGAGAAACAATTGGTTTGCTCTCATTGGCGAGAAACCCTTGCTTGGCGCTCAATGGTGAGAAACCCTTGCTAGGCTCTCATTGGTGAGAAACCCCCTTGCTTGGCTCTCAGTGGTGAGAAACAATTGGTTTGCTCTCATTGGCGAGAAACCCTTGCTTGGCGCTCATTGGTGAGAAACCCTTGCTTGGCTCTCATTGGTGTGAACTCCTTGCCTGGCTCTCATTGGTGTGAAGCCCTTGCTTGGCTCTCATTGGTGAGAAACCCCTTGCCCGGCTCTTATTGGTAACAAACCCCTTACCCGGCTCTCATTGGTGAGAAACCCCTTGCTTGGCTCTCATTGGTCTGAAACCCCTTACCCGGCTCTCATTAGTCTGAAACCCCTTGCCTGGCTCTCATTGGTCTGAAACCCCTTGCACTGCTCTCATTTGTCTGAAACTCCTTGCCCGGCTCTCATTGGTCTGAAACCCCTTGCCCGGCTCTCGCTGGTCTAAAACCCCTTGCCCAGCACTCATTGGTCTGAAACCCCTTGCCCGGCACCCATTGGTCTGAAACCCCTTGCCTGGCACTCATTGGTCTGAAACAACTTGCCCAGCTCTCACTGGTCTGAAACCCTTACTCGGCACTCATTGGTCTGAAACCTCTTGCCCGGTTCTCATTGGTCTGAAACCCCTTGCCCAGATATCATTGGTATGAAATCCCTTGCACGGCTCTCATTGGTCTGAAACCCTTTGCCCGGCTCTCATTGGACTGAAACCCCTTGCCCAGTGCTCATTGGTCTGAAACCCCTTGCCCAGTGCTCATTGGTCTGAAACCCCTTGCACGGCACTCATTGGCCTGAAACCCGTTACCCGGCACTCATTGGTCTGAAACCCCTTGCCCGGCACTCATTGATCTGAAACCCCTTGCCCGGCACTCATTGGTCTGAAACCCCTTGCCCGGCACTCATTGGTCTGAAACACCTTGCCCGGCTCTCATTGGTCTGAAACACCTTGCCCGGCTCTCATAGGTCTGAAACCCCTTGCCCGGCACTCATTGGTCTGAAACACCTTGCCCGGCTCTCATTGGTCTGAAACACCTTGCCCGGCTACCTACCTACCTACCTTGAGGCTACCTTGAGGTGCTTCCGGGGCTTAGTGTTCCCGCGGCCCGGTCGTCGACCAGGCCTCCTGGTTGCTGGACTGATCAACGAGGCTGTTAGACGCGGCTGCTCGCAGCCTGACGTATGAGTCACAGCCTGGTTGATCAGGTATCCTGATCATTGGTGAGAAATGATCGCCTCATTGGTGTGAAACCCCTTGACCGGTTCTCATTGGTGTGAAACCCCTTGACCGGCTCTCATTGGTGTGAAACCCCTTGACCGGCTCTCATTGGTGTGAAACCCCTTGACCGGCTCTCATTGGTGTGAAACCCCTTGACCGGCTCTCATTGGTGTGAAACCCCTTGACCGGCTCTCATTGGTGTGAAACCCCTTGACCGGCTCTCATTGGTGTGAAACCCCTTGACCGGCTCTCATTGGTGTGAAACCCCTTGACCGGCTCTCATTGGTGTGAAACCCCTTGACCGGCTCTCATTGGTGTGAAACCCCTTGACCGGCTCTCATTGGTGTGAAACCCCTTGACCGGCTCTCATTGGTGTGAAACCCTTGCCTGACTCTCATTGGTGTGACACCTTTGCTTAGCTGTCATTGGTGTGAAACCCTTGATAGGTTGTTATTGGTGTGAAACCCTTGGTAGGTTGTTATTGATGTGAAACCCCTGGTAGGTTGTTATTGGTGTGAAACCCTTGGTAGGTTGTTATTGATGTGAAACCCTTGGTAGGTTGTTATTGGTGTGAAACCCTTGGTAGGTTGTTATTGATGTGAAACCCTTGGTAGGTTGTTATTGGTGTGAAACCCTTGGTAGGTTGTTATTGGTGTGAAACCCTTGGTAGGTTGTTATTGATGTGAAACCCTTGGTAGGTTGTTATTGGTGTGAAACCCTTGGTAGGTTGTTATTGATGTGAAACCCTTGGTAGGTTGTTATTGGTGTGAAACCCTTGGTAGGTTGTTATTGGTGTGAAACCCTTGGTAGGTTGTTATTGGTGTGAAACCCTTGGTAGGTTGTTATTGGTGTGAAACCCTTGGTAGGTTGTTATTGGTGTGAAACCCTTGGTAGGTTGTTATTGATGTGAAACCCTTGGTAGGTTGTTATTGATGTGAAACCCTTGGTAGGTTGTTATTGGTGTGAAACCCTTGGTAGGTTGTTATTGGTATGAAACCCTTGGTAGGTTGTTATTGGTGTGAAACCCTTGGTAGGTTGTTATTGGTGTGAAACCCTTGGTAGGTTGTTATTGATGTGAAACCCTTGGTAGGTTGTTATTGGTATGAAACCCTTGGTAGGTTGTTATTGGTATGAAACATCTGGCTGGTTTGCATTGTCGTGTGACATTCCAGCAACACTTGGTTTGGGCTGACCTGAGCAAACCCAGGACATCTCACCTCCTCCTGAGGGTGTGTGCTTAAAGGGCACCTGGAACTGACAAGGTTGAGGTCACGTGTGGTGGTCTATGGAAGTGGTGGTTGTGGTGGGAGGCTGGAGAGTGCCAAGTGTTGGAGCCGAGTGTTGCCCGCCACGATTGTTGTTGTTGTCACTCTCCCTCCCCCCCCCCCCCATGTCAGGCTCGCCAACAGCCAAGCAAATAATTTACAAATATTTTACCCATACCTACCAGTAATTAGCAAGCTTCTCTGAATATATGATATCATTAATGTTATCAATTCTTGTGTGGCGTGTGTTTAAAGGCGTGTAATTATGTAAAGTGGGAAGTGATGGTTGTTATGGTGGCGGTAGTGTTGGTGTGCGTGGGGAGCCATGTCAGCTGTCAGCTGTGGTGGCGGCAGCAGCAGCAGTGTTGACACAGTGGAGAGCAGGAGGGGTGTAGGCCAGTGTCACCACCACACACACTCTGTCATGTGAGTGCCACTCACACCATCACAACACAGTCACCATGGGGCCCTCCAGGCCTTCCACGGGCATCACCAGCCCGGCTAAGATGACCGCCAATATATTTGTGTCCTTTATAGGTGCAGGGATGCTGGGACTTCCCTTTGCTTACAAAGAGGTAAGTCGATGACACGTGGCAGCCAGTGTATAATAACTTAACAGTTGGCAATCTGAGTACTTTGACAGTTACCTGTCAAAGTAAAGTGATTTGACACTTGTTACTGACCAGTCAAGGACAAATCTATCACAGCGTTGTTCATGGACTAATAATATGTGACGTCATACCTTAAATTATTTATTTATTTTTGCAATTCTTGTAATTAACCTTTGAGTCAAGGCACAGTGCCACTTGTGAATGATAAGCTCAGTTGTTGGTTCAAGCATTGGGACAGATGTCACATTGGAACATTGGCTTCTACTGAGTTTCTCATTGGAACATTGGTAAAACTATTTAAAGTACTGTACTGTATTTAAGTAAAACTGAAAAGAATGATTATTACTGGCCTTGATGAAGTGTATATGCTTGTTTAGTTAGTTTAGTTCATGTATTATGCACCCCATACCCATCTTGGGGGCGGTAGTGGAAAGGGTTACAGAGGCACATAATGGGCTCAGGGACTGAACATCACAATTCATTTAGCTAAGCAAGTTACAATCTTGATGAGCTAGTTACAAAATTCAGTATAAGTCGTCACATCAACAATGGGTTCGAGATCGACCACAAGTACAGTTTCTAAATTAAGCAACTGATATACTGTATGTAGAAAGTTAGTGCCACAATTGATATGTTTGTCCTGCACACCGCCCCCTATCCAGTGGGCAGCGGTGGATAAGTTACAATCACTTAGTTACTACCTACAGACAGCAAACTGGGGATATTTGGCTAAAATTTCTGGCAGGAGATCATTTTGAATTAAATATTTACACATCTCTGGAACATTTATTATAGAATTGTCTCTGAATTCACGTATCTTTTCACACTCCATCACATAGTGACGGAGGGTGTGCGAATAATTTTGTTGACACAGTTTACATTTGGTCAGGTCTACATCAGCAGATAATGAGAATTCCCAGAGATACTTGTAACCGAGTCTAAGCTGAGCAGTAGTAACATCTAGAAGTCTGCTGATTTTATTGGATGATCCATAGATGTGTGGCTCCTCTTGCATGATAGTATGATGATAGATGGAATTACAGGTGTCAATTTCACTTTGCCTTAGATTTACAAGATCTTGTTGAAGTTCTCGGTGTACTGCTGCTCTCAGATTGCTCATTGACAATCCTAGGTTACACTCAACGGCTCCTTTAAAGGCAGATTCTTTGGCTAACTTATCAGTTCTATTATGCATTCGGAGACCACATGAAATGGACTCTGTTACCATCTTTAATAATTTTGTTGTTCATTTTATATTTACGTAAAAGAGTTCTTACATTCTTGTAAAGCAACTTGCACGCATAGCATTTCGGGCAGATCCTTAATCTTAATTTTCCCTGTTATACGACCTGCTAGATCATTTAACAACCAGGTACCCATTCACTGCTGGGTGAACAGAGGCTACAGTTAAGGATTGGCTCCTAGTTAATCCTCCCCGGCCAGGATATAAACCTAGGCAAAATGACTCACAAAGAGCCGGGTGTGATAGTTGCTGGTCAGTTGCCTCTCTTCTGCTCCTCTGCCATTTTCCCTGATCTTGGTCGTGTTGTTGGAGGTACTGAAGTAACTACAGTGGGATTACTTTCCAAAAAAATCTTTCACACCTACAGTATTTTAAAAAGCAGATCATATTGTAAAATGAGCAGTACTTTTTCAGAAATAGTATGGCTGGCATGTTTTCCTTAAAAAGCAGTGGTGTGTGTGTTCTATCTGTTACACAATTAGGTCATAAAGTATCATTACCAGATAAAACCTTCAAACTATCCCTGGCTCGGCTGCCTGGGAGCCAGTCGGCCGAGCAGACAGCACGCTGGACTTGTGATCCTGTGGTCCCGGGTTCAATCCCGGGCGCCGGCGAGAAACAATGGGCAGAGGTTCTTTCACCCTATGTCCCTGTTACCTAGCAGTAAAATAGGTACCTGGGTGTTAGGCAGCTGTCACGGGCTGCTTCCTGGGGGTGGAGGCCTGGTCGAGGACCGGGCCGTAAGGACACTATAGCCCCAAAATCATCTCAAGATAACCTCAAGATATCCCTGGGTCTCGTAGTACACCAGAATAAGGTGTGGTAATCATCAGGAGAAAGTGCTAACCCATTACGACTATATTGCACTTAGAAGGAATGAAGATAAGGATTTGGTATATGATGGAGGAAATGAATGGTGCCAAACCATTTGGATGTTCAGGGATTGAACACTGACCTGCAAGAAACAAGACCATCACTCCACTGTCAAGTCCAAGTGGTTGGACTACACCAGGACAAATTGCCCTGCATTAAGAACTGAGTGATAATAATTAAAATCAATATGTATACAATAACCTCATTACCTTGGGTTCAACATATGACGATAACCCCACTTTAAAGGTTAAAGTGCTATCATATGTTAATCATCAGTGTAATGCTGTTATCATATGATTCATGTTTTTGTCATGTTTTAATACCAATGTTAATAAACTCTGTGTTCAAACAACACACAGCCCCTCTCTTTAAATCCCTAAACATGCTAAACATTCACTCCACACATTCTCTTATAGCATTCTCAATAAGCATTGAGAATGCTAATTGATTCTCTTATAGAATTGAATTATGAGAGAATCACACATTCTCTTACAACATTGAGCATTAGCATGCTCAGATAGTATTCTCTTGCTATTTACGTGTACAAACCTTGTTCCTAAATGCTAACCCTGATCTGAAAATCTTTCTTGATGTAACAAAACCCATGAGCATCACACCAGAAACAAATTTTGCTTTAATATTATTTGTCCGACTAAATCTGTGCAAACACTTTGCAAATAAAAGGACCCACTATATGGAACTCACTCCCTAATGAATTAAAAAGTGTCCACCCAACTCTTCATTCAAAAGTAAAACCAAAAAGTACCTAATTTCATCCTCGTAGTTTTCTACTTTGTGCTTCAAACTCACACTGTATCTTGTACTAGCCACTTCCCCAATATTAGTACTTAATACATGTATCTTCACCAGTGTAATCATTACCTTCAATTGATATTGTAGTTATTATGGTAAAGTCTAATTTTGTTACAATGTACCTATTAATAATCTTGCCTTTGTTAGCTTAAGGACCTGTCTGAAATGCTATGCATGTTAGTGGCTTTACAAGAATGTAAGAACACCAATATTTTGTACCCTCACAACGCACTGTACCTTCTTGTATATAAATAAATACAAATAAATAAAAAATAAATTTTGCTCTTAGGGCTCCAATATCCCAGTGGTGTAATTATCATAAATCCTGGTTACCAAATCCTGAATATAACATTTTCTACATGTTTATTTTCTTATGGGAACATGGGGTCCTGTTTCATGAGGCGTAGATGCACAAATTGCGGCTGTGCGTTGTGAATGTCTGCCTCGTTCTGTGAACATCGTAACTAGCATTGTGTTCACTGATGTTCACACAGTCACCCCTGACTGAAAATCACAGTCAAGGGTCTTCTGTAATAATATCATCGCTACATAATAGCATGAACAAGTATATTATGGCATTTTTAGGCGATGCTGTGGTCATATGCTGAACAGCAGTGCTGTGAGCTCATGCTGCATGCGTCAGGCTTGGTAGCTCACTCAATACTGAGGCCCCTAACACCCGGGAATTTGGCTCAATATTTTTTTTTTAAATGGCGTCTGTTTACAAGAGCCCTGATGAAGGTGTGGTGAACCCCGTGTATCCGTGGGCCATTTAAATCTTGCGTAGTACTTCAAAGCATCATATGATGCGGAGCGCAATTTACTGCAAGTCACTCAACGCATCATATGATGTCTAGCGCAACTAAAGGGTTAACATGTTGATACAAGAATGTTTCCAGGATGAGGTCTACAAATCTACAGGTCCAAAAATCTTCTGTTTTAGCTTCATATGCTTCCCAGTCTATGGATTTCAAGTTGAAGTCGCCAACTATCAACAGTCATGATCTATCGTTATCCGCTCTCGCTATAATCTCTCGTTATTGTTATAAAACCTTCTCGTTTACTATCTAGCTCCTCCTTTGACCATGTGCTGCTTGGCGGTGGACTATATGCATTTATGATCATTAGTTTATCATCCTCGTGGCAGATCTCTAGTGCTATTATGTTAACTTCGATCAAATGGTATTTTTGTCCCAAACGGGTTGCAGGTGGGTGACTTTAGCCGTTTATACTGGTAATGCTTCCCCCATATCATGTATTATATGCATATGTCTGTTTAGGGAATTTTATTCCGATCAATATACAACCAAAAATAACTGTGTGCAACAAGTATAAACTTGACAAACATAACAAAAGTAAAAACATTTCGTGTGTGTTTGACGCTCACTGATATGTTCCAGCGTTGTTTTATATTTGGCGCTATTCTAACTTACGCTTTGTTGATATTTTTTACCGATGGGCACATAGAACATTCTATTGCGAACACATTGACACAAAAATGAATGACGTACATAGAAAATTAATGTCATGAGAGTGAAATAAGTATAAACTTTCAAAGCGCCGTGCGTCGTCCCGTCACCGATACCGGGTAACAATTTCACCACTTCCCACACTCTTGCGGGCGGGCCGCATCATTATTCTACGCTTATATTCATAGCACCGTGTTCAACTTCTTGAGGATTGGCAGTCATTATTTCGTTCACCTTTAGGTGTTCTTTCACCAGCACAGCAACGCCACCGCCTTTCCTGATTTTTCTGTCCCGTCTCCAAATTGAGTAACCCCTTGGAAAACCAAGTGGTTACAAAATGTTATTTTAAACCCTCGTTTAAAATAACATCTTCAAGTTTTGTCTCCGTGAGTGCAACAATGTCTGGTGTCTGCAGCTGTATTACATCACTTAACTCCAGTATCTTTGATCTCACTCCATCTATGTTGGTGTATGCAATCTTGAGGAACTTGTTCCCCCCTCTCCTTATTCTTCACTGTGTCCCCTACTGCGTGTGCCCCTTGTGTCAAATAGCCGTGTCTTTATCT